ACATATTTCTCCAATCATTTTTGGATAATTTTCAGCAGAATCTTGCTTGCATGTGATATGATATTGTTTGATAATTTCCACACTCTGTTGAGTCACCTTTCTTTAGAATGAGAACAAATATCGATCTTTTCCAGTCAGCTAGCCAGCTGGCTGTCCTCCAGATTTCTTGGCACAACTTAGTGAGCACATCCAGGGCAGCGTTTGTTTGTTAAAATATGTCAACTGGTATGCTGTTAACTCCTGGAGCCTTGTTTTTTACCAGTTCCTTCAAAGCAGCTTGAACTTCTTCCTTCATCACCACAGGCTCTTGCTCATTTGTTATTTCATGAAATTCTTCTATGTCAGCCAATTCCTTCTGATACAATGACTCTGTGTACTCCTTCCATCTTCTTTTAATGCTTCCTGGATCATTTAACATTCCACCCAATGTATCCTTAAGTATTGTCATTCATCCTATATTACACTATTAAATAGAATAGCTTCATAGCCCTAAAAATGTCTATTTATTTTCCCCATTCATTCTTAGATCTTTTCTAAACAATAAACTTTCGACTTTTTCTGTAGTCTTGCCTTGTCAGAATGTCATTTAGTTGGTATTATACAGTATGTCCCTTCCAGTCATATGTCTTTTACTTAGCAATATACATTTAAGTCTAACTTCTTTTACGTAGCAATATGCATTTACTAAGCAGTATACATTTAATGGTTCTTTTAATGGTACCATTCCTGGCTTCATAACTCATCACTCTTTTTTGTTTTTTCTTTAATCCATTGCGTAGCTGTAACAAAGTTTATTGATCTGTTTGCCTGTTGACAAACATCTTAATTCCCTCCAGTCTTTGGGTATTTGTGGATAAAGTTATATAAACATACTTTTTTTTTTTCATACTTTTTTGGACTTAAGTTCAACTCATTCTGATAAATACTTAGGAGTATGATTGCTGGATTGTATGCTTCCAGAAACTCTTAAGAACTTTGATAAGTGTCGAAAGTTATAGAAGGGCTTTAGGCCTTTTGTTCACAGGGTCGCTATGAGTCATGCTCAACTTGAAGGCAATCAACAGCACATTGGTAAAAGATTGAAATTGTCAACAGTTGGATCCAAAGTCAGTACCCTTGGTACAAGAAGTTAGGAGATCAAGAGGCATCACATTGGGAAAGTTTGCTGTCAGGAAACTTCTCCAAATTACTGAGGAGTAATGATGTCAGTTTGAAGACTGTTGTTGTTAAGTTGTTGCTAAGTGCCGTCAAGTCGTAGCTGACTAAGGTGCACCTAATTCAGGCCAGTCTTTTCAGTGATTTGCATCTGGTAGATGGACATGAATAAAGATGACAGAGAAGATTGGATGCCTTTGAGTTGTGGTGTTGGTGAAGAGCACTGAATATCTCATGATATTCAGCCAAAAAAATAAACAGGTATGTCTTGAAAAAAGTGCAGCCAGAATGCTTTGAAGGCAAGGATGGAAAATGGAGAAGCTTTGTTTCACATACTATAGGCATATTGCTAGGAAAGGCTATACCTTGGGGAGGGATATCATACAGAAGGGAGGAAGACCCTCACCGAGATGGACAAGTAGCCACTGGAGCAGTGGACTCAGGTAAGTCAGAGATACTGAGCGTGGCACAACCACTCTGGAAGATAGTTTGGCCTTTCCCTCAAAAAACTGAATGGAGAAATCTTAAATGATTCAGCAATTCTACTGCTAGGAATATACTCGAAGGCAAATGAGGGTGGTGGTAAAGGAATAGGTAAAATTCAATGAGAATTCGAAAAGATAGGGTAACAATGGGCATAGATCAATAATAATTAATTATATAAAATACAATATATGAAGCAGAATATAAATGTGACTGCTACTGAGGTGAGGTGGTTTTTCATTGGTTTTTTTTCAATTTGCTTCTCTCTAATTGCCAGTGATTTTGAGCACTTCTTCATGTGTCTATTGGCCATCCGAATGTCTTCCTTTGTGAAAAGTCTTTTCATGTATTTTACCCATTTTATTATTAGGTTGTCAGTCTTTTTCTTTGGTAGCCCTGTAATAGTCTATAAACTTTCTTTATTGAGATCCTTGTTGCCAAATATTTTTTCCTAGTCAGTAGGTTTTCTTTTCACCCTACTGGAAAAAGTTTTGGTACAGACAGGGACTTAATTTTTAATAGACCCCATTCATCAATTTTATTCCTTCTTGCTTCTGCACTTCTAGATATGTTTTCAGCCTAATGTGAAACCTATACTTGGACCAAGAGGCAGTCATCAGAACAGA